CTCACTCGCTCCCCTCCAGCCATACACACCTCCTTACTGTCCCTCCAATACCCCAGGCCCAGTCCTGCCCCAGGACCTTTGCATGAGCTGTGCCCTCTGTTTGGGATGTTCTTGCCCTACATAAACACATGGTTCCCTCCCTCCCTTCTCTATTTTCAGCCCAAGTGTCATCTTCTCAGTGACTACCCTAGTTTTGACATCGTATCCCTTGCCCTCACCTCTCCAGATGATCAGCTCAGTGGCAGGTGAGGAATTTTGTGCGTCTTGTCCCACACAAGGGCTCAATACATAGTGCCTAGAATAGTGCCTGACATACAGCAGGTGGTTTGCATTTGTCAGAGTTGTCCAGAGAACAGAAACAATACGATGGATGCAGATAGGTAAAGATCCATTATAAGGAATTGGTTCATGCGACTAGGGAGGCTGGCAAGTCCCACAACCTTCGGGGTGATGTGCACAAGTCCCGAGCCCGGAGAGCATTTGGGAAGCTGAGCAAAGGTGAGCACGGCTGACGGGACAAGGCAGGAGATGAGCTGGGGAGGCTGCCAGGTGCCCAGTCACCTGGGCTGTGGTTCTGGTTTAGGGCGGGTTTGAGTTGTGAGCAATTGAGCCAGAGGAAGAGGGTAATGGGAAGTTCAGATGAGAGACCGCAAGTGATAATGGGCCGGAAGTCCGCAAAGGACAACGCTGCCTCTACAGATGAAAGAGGAAGCTGTTAGTAAGAAAAGAGATACAATTGAGGGGCCATGCAGGGAAGGGACGTAAACAAGGCACGTTGTAGGAAGTGAAGAGCCTGACTGAACCATCCCTCGAAGTTGGGGGGGCCCTTTATAAAGCGCTTCCCCACCCTACAGATCAACCGGTGTTGGCATTACCTTCCACTCATCTCTGTCTTTCACATCCTGCATCCAACGCACTGGCAAGTCCTGCTGACGTCACCTCTGAGCAAACCCCAAATCTCATGCTGCCTCTGCTCTCAGCCGGGTGGCACCCACCATCCTCGCTCACCTGGACGGGCGCGGTGACTCCTCCCTGGTCATCCTGCCTCTGCCCCTCTACCGTTCATCTTCCGACCAGAGGATCCTGTTAAAACCTCAGTCCTGCCGTGTGCTGTCTGTGCTCAGACTCCGCCATGGCTCCCGTCGCTCTCTGATAGAAAGCTGGGGTGTGACAGTCGTCTAGCCGATCTTAGCCGACCTGGCCATGTCCACACCTCCCCTTTCCCCCTGTGCACTCTGCTCCAACCACACGACCTCCCTGTAATTCCACAAAATCACCAGCTGTGGTCCTGCCCCTGGGTCCTTCATGCATTTGCGGTTTCCTCTGCCCTAAGCACCTTCGTACGTATCTTACTCACCTCCCCCTGGCCTTTGTTCCAGTGCTACTTTCTCAGTGAGGTCTTCATTGTTGAGCACCGACTGTGTGCCAGGCTCTGTTGTAGGCACTCAGCACACAGCAGTGAATGAGACAGACATAAATCCCTGCCTTCCAGGAGCTCAAAGTCCATCAGGGAAACGGATTTAAAAGAACCAATTACAAAGGTTTTTTTTTCAAAGAATGGTCGTAGAAATTGCCTGAACATTGATTCCATTTCCAGCCAGATCTACCTCTTCTTGGGTGGCAGCAGTGAAAATCACTCACTTCAGGTTTTGACAGGCCCAGGGATGCCAGTCACCAGCGGTGTGTCCTTGAACAAGTTACTTAACCTCACTGAGACTCAGTTTTCCACATCTGTATAATGGGAATTCTATTAGTTTCGTATGGCGGCTATAACAAATTACCACAAACTTTACCTTACAGATCTGGAGGTCAGAAGTCCAAAATGGGTCCCAGTTGGCTAACATCAAGGTGTGAGCAGGGATGAGCTCCATTCTGGGGGTTCTAGAGCAGACTGTGTCTTTTTGCCTTTTCCAGCTTCTAGAGGCCACTTGGATTCCTTGGCTTGGGTCCCTCTTCCTCCATCTTCAAAGCTGGCAATGACTGGCCAAGTCTTTCTCATATTGTATCACTTTGCCTCTCTTGGCTTCATCTTTCCGTTTTAAGGACCTTTGTGATTACATTGACCCCATCTGGATAATCCAGTTTCCTCTTCATCTCGGGATCAGCTAATTCCATTGGAATCCTTAGTTCTCTCTTGCCACATAGCATAGGTTCTGGGGATTAAGACGTGGTCATCTCTGAGGGCGCCTGTGTGACCAACTGTGTGAGTTGGTTGGATGTCCAACTTCAGCTTAGGTCATGATGTCACGGTTCATTAGTTCGAGCCCCACATCAGGCTCTCTGCTGTCAGTGTCGAGCCTGCTTCAGATTCTCTGTCTCCCTCTCTCTATACCCTTCCTCTGCTCTCACTCTCTTTCTCTCTCTCTCTCTCTCTCTCAAAAACAGTAAATAAATGTTAAGGTCAGGCGTAGGGCAGGGTAAAGATATGAGTCAGAAGCTAAAAAATTTTAGCAGTCAAAGGCTTTATTTGGGAACTAAGGTCTTGGGCGAGGTTCTGTGACTCAGGGAGAGAGAGAGAGAGAGGAGTCAGGGAAGTCGCGCCCGGGTGTGGTGGGGTAGGGTTTTTAAGCTGCAGCAGTTCTGGGTTTAGGTCCCGGTGGGCCTTTTTCACACCAGGTTGTGCTGTCACTCGGTGACTTGTTGACCTTCAATTCATTCTGGCGTGCTGCTTGGGGCTTTCTGTTGGAAATTTTCCACTGGCAAGATGGCCGTGCCCTCCACTGTGGTTCCAGGGACATCCTGACAATAAGCATTTAAAAAAAGGATGTGGTCAAGGCACATGCACCCCAATATTGATAGCACTATCAACAATAGTCAAATTATGGAAAGAGCCCAAATGTCCATCGACGGATGAATGGATAAAGAAGATGTGGTATATACATACAATGGAGTATTACTCGGCAATCAAAAAGAATGAAATCTTGCCATTTGCAACTATATGGATGGAACTAGAGGGTATTATGCTAAGCAATATTAGTCAGAGAAAAACAAATATCATAGGACTTCACTCATGAGGACTTAAAGATACAAAACAGATGAACATAAGGGAAGGGAAGCAAAAATAACATAAAAACAGGGAGGGGGCCAAAACATAAGAGACTTAAATATGGAGAACAAACAGAGGGTTGCTGGAGGGGTTGTGGGAGGGGATATGGGTTAAATAGGTAAAGGGCATTAAGGAATCTACTCCTGAAATCATTGTTGCACTAGATGCTAACTAACTTGGATGTACATTAAAAAAAATTAAATTAAATTAAATTTAAAAAAAGGGATGTGGTCATCTTTAGAGGGGCCATTATTCTGCTGACCACAGGAATGACAGTATCGAATAAGTTTCTTCACAATCTCCTAGAAGCCTGCCTCCACCTCTGGCTTGTTGTTCTGGAGCTCACAGTGTGGTGGGGGAAATGACTACTAGAAAACTAACCATACAAATAAGCAACTATAATTATGACGTGTGTCATAAAGAAGGAGCACGAGAAGCTATGTGGGAGCACAGAGCACAGTGGAGGCTTTTTGGGGGGAAATGACACTTAAGCAAGACATGAAGAATGAGTAGGAGCTGGCCAGGCAAAGCAGAGGCAAAGGGTATAGAATGTGTAAAGGCCCTGTGGTGGGAAGTCTAGAAATGGAGAGTAACACGAGATGTGGTTTAAAGATGTGGTTGGGTGTGGTCACTGGGGCTCTGTGGGTCCTGTTTAAGTGATTTGGATTTTAATTCTGAGTGCAACAGGGAGCACTGTAGGCAGAGGTGGGGGTAGATAATCAAATCTGCATTCAGAGGTGACTACTATGTGGAGAAGAGATTGCAGGGGACAACAGAGGACGAAGGGACGTAGAAGCCGGAGGAGGATCTGTACCGAGAACAGCTGTGGCGATGGAGAAAAGTGGGTACATATGAAATGCTATTTGGATACAGAACCAACAGGGCTTGGGGACCCACTGAAAGTGAGGGTGAGGGCTAAACAGGTAAACTGAGGTACAGAGAGGTGAAATCACTTGTCCCAGAGCTGGACTGGCTAGGATGTAGTTTTGACCGCTTCCATAGTAACCAAACAACTTAGACATTTATTTCTTAGAAGATTATTCTTCTTGTAGATCTCTAACTTATAGATGGGACGGAGTGACCAGGCTGCCTGGTCTAGGAGATCATTCCACCTTGTTGCCTCTCCATTCCTTGGCGTGGTGGTTTCCCAAGCCATCATCCTCAGGGTTAAGGGCAGA